TGGAAGAAAGTCGCAATGGCTTGAAATGACACCTGATAAAAGAAAAAGCAGAAAATACAAAAGCGGTACTGCAGCTGCATATTAACAAAAATCATGTCCACAGCAGAATTGCAGAACTTTATGGTTAAAAATGAAGAAACTGAAATTGTGAAAGATTTCACATAACTTGGCTCAGTCATTAAGGCAAAGGGAGACTGCAGTCAAGAAATCCAAAGAAGATTGAGACTTGGAAGGGCAGCAGTGAAAGAACTGAAAAAGATAATCAAGTGTAAGGACATTTCACTAGAGACCAAGGTCAAGATTAACCACACTGTTGTATTTTCAATCACAATGTATGGACATGAAGGCTGGACAGTGAAGAAAGCTGACAGAAAGAAAATTTGTACATTTGAAAGTTGGTGCTGAAAGGATGGCTTTGTGGATCCTTTTGATCCTTTGCAGCCAACAGAAAAATGAACAAGTGGTTCCTTGATCAAATCAAGTCATAGCTTTCCCTGGAAGCAAAAACAAACAAACAAAAAAAAAAAAAAAAAAAAACAAAAAACAAAAAACAAAACCTGAGGCTATCATAATTCGGACATATCATGAGAAGGCAAAACTCACTGGAGAAAACAAGTTAGGGAAATCTGAAGGCAGAAAATGAAAGGAAAGCCCAGATATGAGATGGACTGAATTCATACAGAAAGCCACAGCTTTGAGTTTGCAAGAGAGGGATGTGATATTTCCTGGTTTCCCCTCCTTCTGCAATCTCCAGTGCCACCTCTCCCACTGTTCTGGAGCATCCCCCAGTCCTCCAGACTTTTTCTGAAGAGACAGGAAGGACAGGGAGTCAAGAAAATCAATGAAGATCTCCTCCTCCCATATTGTGCCACCAGAGATGGTTCACTATATCAGAATCCTGTCCAGAGAAGGAAAACAATGGATCCAAGCTATGAAAGATACAGCTGCACTGATCTAGTAAGAGATTCATTTACAAAGCACCCTTTTGCTTGTTTAGCCAATACAGAAGCATATCTGGATGCACATCCCCAACGCTACTGCAGTGATGACCCATGCCCCACCAAACTGGCCAAATGAGTCTTCTGATGCAGATATAGAGCCATAGCCGGAGCAGCTATGCAGCCAAGACTATAGTGGCATTATGGGTTGCATGCAGCATATATTCAACTCATCGACTATTATTCAATCTCAGATGCTAATATATCCCTAGATCCCTATAGTAAGAACTAGAGTGACAAAGGAGAACATATTTTAAGTTTAAATGGTTATCACTTGGGTGTCTTTCCCCCAAAATGCAGCAGCAGACCATGTTAAACACAGTCCTCACAATCATACCAAGGAAGGTTCATCCTTTTTCCAACAGTGGTAGCATCAAAAAGACAAAAGGTGTAACTTCAAACTGGGACTCAAAAATAGAAGTTTATTATAGCATGCCTGATGTGTTCTTTATTTTAAAATATTGCAAAAGTTCAAGAAAATGCCCTACACTACCTTCCCCCACCATCCAAATAATTCAGTGAAAACCTGCTACAGTGGAACAGTGGCCAGACAGACATCTCCCGCAACCTCACAAACAAGTTGTTCTCCGATTGCCCCTACTCTTTATTCTGTAGCAACTGATATTCAGTGGTACATAACCTCTGTACATCGAGGTTCCTTTAAGTTACCTCACCCAAGCAGATAGATAAATTCATAGCAAACTGGGGGGTTTAGTGTTGCACCAGGAGTCATGGCACACAGATTCAAAACCACACACACCCATCATGTAACCTTAGGCCTCCCATGCCCCATAAAAGGAGGCTCTCTCCTTCCCAGTCACCCTCCACACTTACAGGGTGAGAGAGAAGGACAGGGCTAGCACGGTTCTCCTCTCACATGTTTACAGAATTCAGCTTCCTTAAAACTATGTATTTCGCCCTCATACACTTTACAGCACTATTGTGAAAATAAATCTGCCACTGGAGCCATGTATATAGCCTTGAACTACATGGATATTACCAAATTTAAAAATGTGATGATGATAAAAAGTCCATGCAAACATGTTTCCAGGTGGTTCCCTCAAACAAGCAGTTGCCAAATTGAGACCTCCTTGGCTTCAGCAAGATGTGACCTCAGCCCAAGTCCTGTTAAACCAAAGTTAACTGTATGGTTAGGCAGTACTTTCTTTCACCTCTCCTAAATTTACTGCCAATAGTACCATCTGGTACACTCAAATCCTGGTGGAGCTATACCTCTCTAGAAAAAGCATCGTCGTCTTTTTGCCTGTACGAAACCCAGACACTTCAGCCTTTCCTCTCACAGAAGGGGCTCGAGCACAGCCAGGACCAGCCAGATCAGCCAAGGCAGCGACGCATGGCACACCAGGTCTGGACTCAACAAGACGGGACGGGGACGCTTCTGCACCTAAGCCAGCCCCGCTCCTCCGCCGCACTCCGCCCGCTCGCCCTCTTTGTTCGCCTCCTAAAGACGGTCAAGGCCCCGCCTCCGGGGGGAAGAGACAGGAACGGGGGGAACAGCCCTGGAAAAGAGACCGAGCTATCCCATCATGCACCACGCCCCTACGGACAGGTAGTACGCTTCCCGGGGTCCCCGGATGGAAGATAGAAGGGGAAAGCATCAAGAAAAAAAGCCATGCGAGAGCTCGACCCCCAACAGAAGGTGGGCTCGTCGAGCCTTCTAGCTAGCCGGCCGTCAGGGTTTTCGTCTTTCTGCATCCATTCTTCCCTCAAGCAGCCCCAGGATGCATGAAGGGAAAAGAAATAAATGATTGTCCCTCAGGAGTATTCAGCACCTTCCCTCCCTGTGTTTCTTTTCCCTTTGGCGCACCTCGTATGGAAGTGGGACAGACGCAGAGGCTCCAAGCTGGCCGTCGCTCCTCACCCTTCTTTATTTGGCTCCCCTCCTTCCTTCTCCTTTGCCACCCCCTTCTTTCGGAAGCACAACAACCACCCTAGGCCGGACATGAAATCACTTCCGTCGGCTGTGCGCATGCGCTTTACCGTCACTTCGCAAGAACCTTAATTTCCGGCTAAAAATCGAACCGATTCTCGATTCTCTTGCAAAGGGTACAGAACTAGTGATGATAGAGTCTAGCCCATGGACTAGAGCGCCACTCCAGAGACTCGGAGCTCATGTGAGGGTGGCTTTCTGTTTGAACGGAGGTAGTGAGATACTGAGTCAACTGCCTGTGATCGCCATTCTTCCCAGAAAAACATTAAAACAGGATTCTAGTTTTAGAATGCTGTATTGGAAAGTCAGCTTCGACTTTTAAGGCATAATCGAGACAAGCAATTTCCTTCCCACTACAAGAACGAATTATGTAGCACTTTACAGGCATGTTTACTCAGAAGTAATCCCCAATGGGTTTTTCTCCCAGATAAGCATGTTTAAGATGGCAGCTCGAATGCACAATATTATGCATGTTCAGACAGCAAAAAAGCTGGCTGGGGGAATAAACGTTGTAGCACTTTTTTCTGCCTCAACATGCATAGAATTGTAAGGCTAACATTAATTATGGGTTTAAGAAATACCTTCAAAACACGTACTATGGAACAGATCTGTCAGTGCCTAAGGTGTGCTCTTGCAATATAGGTGTTGACTGCGATAAAAAGCAAGCAGTTATTGCTACGGGTGCAAATGATTGCTACTTCTTTGTAAATGTTTGAAATATGTTAGGGACTTTTCACATGCTTTTAATCCCATTGCTTACAATTCTCCTAGCCCAAGTCACATTTCCTTAATTTCTTCTGATTGTAAGAATGCCCCAAAGTCAACTTTCTAGTAGCTCACAGGAATGAAATATCTGTTAGAAGTTATCTGTCAGTGCTGAGGGAATGAAATCTTAAATTGTTGAAACACCAGTGCAATTGCTATGGCTTCTAAGATATAGACACTTTACATCAATGTAAGGTAAGAAGAGCATCTTCACAGGATCAGATGCTGGTCTTGTTTGGACCCAAATGTTGCCTTACTGATGGACAGCAGGCAAGTGCTTACTCCTTCAGTAAAGGTTCTATGTATTTTTTCCTTTTTAGTTCTGTTTGGCTCCTTCCTACCTTCTTTAGTTCCTTCCTCTATGGTTCAGTTCCGCTTGGCTATATGCATTTAATCCAGCTTATAAAATGCCTACCAAATGGTGGAAATATGTAAAGCAGTGTGGTACACTGATGGGATGTATCTAAGCAAGCAGGCCGGCAAGTACTAGTTTCACTTCCCAGTTGTCCCACTTTGTCCTTTGCTAGTTCCTTCAGTACAAAACAGAGGTACCACATTTGCCTACTTTCTGTCCCATCTTCATTGAGCCTTACCCTTCTCCCTCCTCCTCGTATAGTTTTTATTCTGGCCTCTTTTTCATTCATTTTCTAGACCATCAGCTTTCTTCATCCTCCCTTCTCTATAGCTTTATCTACTATATTGTCTGAGTCCTTAATGAAGGCTGTTCTGTGTCTTGGTTTGGCAACAGCAAAATGTCATCTCATGAAAATGTTAAGCTATTTTTCACAGTATCTCACTACTTTTCCTGCTTAAAATACACAACATGGTTCTTGCCATACAAAAGCTAGTTATGAGGTACAAGTCAACTGTTGACTATACGTAGATATCAGGTACACAGGTGGCCCAGGTCTCTTGCTAGTAATGGCACCATGAGATGTGTAACATTTGCTTTCTGCATTGCTTTTACAAAGGGATTTGGACGTGTCACACAAAGAAACAATTGCTTAGATCATTTCAGTTAGTATGGTTATTAAAAATGCCTGAACAAATACTAGTTTACTGTACTTGTGTGTAATGATAATCATACCAATTACAACACTACATACAAGTGTAGTAATTTGTTGTGAAATTTATGATGAAGTATATCTAACTTTGTAGCAGCAGAGTAGGAATGACTTAGGTAGAAATCAGGCAGACAAGCACAACCATTTAATTCACCAGCTTTCCAGTATACAAAAGGTGGTTTATAAACTGAGTCAATAGTAAACAAAAAAAGGCTAAGAAAGTTTACTCTTACTGGTTGGGTTTATTGATTTAACATTATAATAAACTGAATCCACATATATGTAACCTGTTAAATGATTAATAAAACTACATGAAAACAGATTTTACACCCAAACTTCCATTCACATCAGCTACGTGAAGGTACATCAAGATTACAATCCTAGGATGAAACCAAACTGAAGATGTATGCTCCAATTCTAAACATGTTACTCTGAAGCAAGTCCCTCTGATTTCAGTGACACCATAGTAACTAGTCTAGATTCAGAGTTGAAGTACAAACTTAAAAAAGATTAACTACTTACAATTTATGTTCAAATGCCATGTTTGCTTATACTGATGTATGAAAAAGTACTAAATTCAAGTCAGAAGCACAGTTCAGAAAAATAATACTGGTCAGAAGAATTTATGCTAGAGTAGGACAGAAATATGAGGACTGAGGGAAACACTCACAAGATTTAAAAGCTGTCTATCAATTTTCTATTCACTACCTAATACACCAATATTAAAAAAAAAGTGTTATCACTCTCTTTAAAGCCACATAAATTTTAATAGAGTCTCAAAAATGAAATGAAATCATAAAAGTCCCCTAAAATAGTTATCAACTGGACTTTAAACTGGAATATGGAATGTTCCAGAGCAGAAAAAAGAAACTTCATATTTAACTAACCCAAACCAACATTTAAAGAGATGTTCTTGAAAGCCTGAAAAGAATGATGCTGATTAAAATTATCTCTGGTCTTCAAAATGCTGTAACAGTTCTTCAGTAGCTTCAAGCAATATGCACAGATTATTTTGTGATTCAGCCCATTTTTTTCAACAAGCAAACAAACAAGATTTAACAATGCAAGATGTTGCCATAACTTTAAACACACAAACATAATTAACTTCTATTTATTCCACTAAAATCTATGTAGTATAGTGTTTCCCCAATTTTACTGTACTGAGATTAACATTAAAAATAAAAACATTTTTTTCTTAAATCCTCAAGCCTTTTGTTCTACATTTAAGCCTCCTTTGTCTGTCTTGGGTCTTCAGCCATTTTTTCCATGCGCTTCTGTAATAGAGAAAACAAGGAAGGGATGAATTAAAGTTTTGTCAGGCAAGGTCTTCATGTTTATGATTAATAATATTTCCTGGGTTTAGGAAGAATTTGCTCAATTTGTCTCATAATGAATAAAATACATCAGCTGATGTATAAATTACATGATGTACAAATCCATTTCATCCAATGAAATGATTATAAACATTTATTTATACAGGGTAACAAATCATTGTAACATTTATATTCTACCTTTTCTGCTTTTGCAAAGAACCCAAGGTAGCTTTACATGGTTCTCCTTTCCATGTTATCCTCACAACAAACCTGTGAGTAGGTTAGGCTGAAACTCAGTGACTGGCCCAATGTCACTTCATGGCCAAACATGGATCTCCCAAGTTCCAGCTGAACATTTTAACTACTTGATCACATTGTCTTGCAATGTGAAATTAAATGAAATTAAGACTCATGGCATACAAGTTTCTTATTTCCTGTTTCTTTTTAAATTAGAGCTTTAAAATAGGCTACCTATCTGCAGCTGAATATTCACCTTCTCAGTTTTAATGTATTGTTGTCATTCTTTTATTTGGCTTAACTTTATACTGTTCACCACTCAGGAACCTGCTTAGCTATGAAGTGTCATGCAAATACTGTAAATAAAGATACACAAAGATGCACAGAAAAATTTCCTTGCCTTCAACTTTTGATAATGTGCAAGGCTGCTACAGTGGACCTTTTTGGCAGCATCTTCATTGGTGTAGAATAAGGAACATAATTTGCAGTAAAATCCAGTTCTGGGCACCACGTAGTTCACACCTAGACAGACAACACAAAACTAAATTATAGTTCTTATCCAGAACATTTGAACTAATAGCAACAAAGTTCCTAAGTTCTCTTTGTACCAAATAGGGTAGTAGTCCAGTTACTTGATTTATACCAGTAAAACTATACTGGCTACACTAATCCTTGCCTTTAAACATTCTTTACTCTTTAGTGGAATTACTCTATAGGTATTGCAATCCATCATATTTATTTGTGCCCACTATAAGACTTTGGTAATCAAACATAAACTGACTGGTAGAGATTCTAAGCTGATACCTCCTTACAAGGCAAAAATAGAGTGAACATAGGAGACTGTTGATAGGATAAGGAAGAAAATATTCTTACCAACAGGCACATTTGGCTGATATGGTCCAATTCTATGTTCCTCTGGGATGGCCCGTTTTTCACGGACAGTCTTACTGTCTTGCACATCAGCAGACTCTTTTTTCTCCCTTTCTTGGGTCCCTGTACTGTCAGTCATTTCTGATGATTCCAACTTCAAGCTCTCTGTTTTAGCACCATTTTCCAAAGCTTCATTTTCCTGCTCCATTTCTTCTGTTTTTGTAGTTTTAGATTCTGTTACACCATCCTCAATTTTTACACCAGCTTTAAGTATGCCAGATTTACGCTGTTTTTGGTGATCAGAATCTTCCTCATCACCAACTTCATCAAGAGTGACAAAACCTTCCATGCTCCTTGGAAATCCACCAACATGTCGCTGTTGAGAAAATTTCAGTCTATTAAATTAGATATAACATTTCTTAAATCTGTTTAATGAAAAAAATTACACCCAAGATGATTAGTGCAGTTCTACCTCATACACAAAATTCAACTCATTTCCCCCTACAAAAGGCTTACACTGGTTTGGCAGAGGAACTCCCAGAGCCACAGAATACACCAACATAGTGGACAATGGGACACTATTGGGGTTTAACAATCTTTCATACTCAGCAGTGTAGAAGAATGGGCTTCCATGAAGATGGAAAAAAATGATGCTTTTTATGCGTGGCTGTCCTTGAGACCAGTTTGAAAGATAAAGTTTGTGTATAATTTTGCAACAATGTGAGAGGTAGAATATTTTTGAGGTAAAATGCAACCACCTTGTTCACATGCCATGCTGCAATTACTGGACTCTTTAATCTAAGAAATGCTGGATATGAGTGAACTGATGAGCCTATTGCCTCCTGTCTGGTTGATGTTTCCAGTTTCAGTCAACATCCTAGGAACGCCTGTGTTGCTGGGTTGTTTTGCAATGTGTGAACCTGGAAATTCTTGGTTGTTTATGGGTTAAACAACTCAAGAATTCACCCAATTTGAAACCATAGATAATTGTTGAATTAACTCTAGATTGTTTAAACCAATAAACAATCCAGAGTTTCAAGATTTGTAGCTGTGAAACAACCCAGGAATGCTATGTTCCTGGGTTAAGTGAAAACAGAAATTACCAGTGCACAAGAGAGTCTCTTTGTGTATCCTTGGCATTTCCCAAGCTAAACAAACCAGGAATTGCTACATGATATGTAACCTGGGTAATTTTTTCCAAGGATTACATATTTTCTGCTTACCTTTTTGAGTTTCTTTGCTGCATTTTCTTCAGTTTTTGCGGTAGAACCATCCTCACCTGCTTCCTTGTCTTCAGTAGCCACATCACCCAAGTTGGCTACATCAGTCTCATCAGCTGCTGAGCTACCACTCTCTAGTAATGCTGCTGCTTCTTCATCATCAACTAACAGTTCATCTTCAGACTCAAGGAGCGTATTTGATTCCTCTGGCTCTCCTTGTTCACCATCTTTGGCATCCAACCCCTCTGGCTCATCTCTCTTCTCTTCTTTATCGTCAGTACTATTGGTTTCAGTTTTCTCATTATCATCAGTCTTACATTTCTTCTCACTTCCAGAGTCTTTGCTATCTGGAGAAAGACCTCTCTTTCTATAAAAGAAAAAAATTCTTGACAACCCACTTCATTTTGATTTTTAAACAAACTAAACATCTGAAAATATTGTTACCTTGGTTTATCTTTCTTCGACAAATCTATACCTTTGTTGGGAATCTGAAACAAACACATATTTTATTAAGGTGCATAAGGTAATCCTTCCAGATTTTAGTATTACAAGTATCTCCATGGCTCTTTAAGTGAAAGGAGGTTTACTCAAGGTATCTCAAAGGACAACTCAAATAGCAATGGTTAGCTCATTGCAGCAAGAGATCAGGCAGTTCTTATTTACACCGGTTAGCAGTGATGCTCAAGGCATGTATTCTTCTGATTCTTGCTGCTTAGGCCTGCAAGCTTAACACAATATGAAAAGCAATACCTAACTTTATGTATGAGCAGAGCAAATTTCTGTTTGCTGTAAGCCCTAGTTACCTACACCAACAATGTTAAGTACAACTGTTGAAGGGGTGGATTACTGCGGGTATTGAGTGGGAGGTAACTTGAGGAATGAACAACAATTCCAAAGGCAAGGTAGTCTTTGGAATGGGAAATAGAGAAGCAGAGAGTTACTACAGTATAAAGTAGGTCTCAGGGTTTGCTCCAGCTGGAATTTCCCCTCCTTCCATAAGGCCAGCTACCTGCCTTTTGGGAAAAATTCCAGGAGAGGGAGGGATGTGAGGATAGGATAACACCATACACCTCTTCCAGTCAGATTCTGCCTGCCCAGAAGAGGGAAGAATATTGAGGATTTGACTCACACAGTGAATATTTCTTGTGAATTTATTATTTTTATATTATTTGTAAGCTGCCTTGGTTGGATCTGTAATCCTGAAAGGCGGCATATAAATGCCATAAATAAAAAAATGTATAATGCAATGTTCACACTAGGTAGAACCGAAAAACTTTCAAGATGTTATCACCAGCGGCTCAAACATGTCTTGGATCCTCAAGCAGTCTAATATGGATCTGCATATTAGTTCACCAAAATGAGAATCCCTTTCCCCTTTTATAAGTATTACCCACTCTCTCATGCTGTGCTTCCAAAACTCAACCTGACTCTCTACTATTATAGTCCTCAAGGTCAGTCAGTGGCAGCCAGTCTAAAAAAAATGCCATTTTGCTAGATAAGAGAACAGTCACCTATAATAAATGTTTCATATTACAATATTATTGAATGAATACTCCATAGCCCGATCCAAAACTTATACCAAAAGATTACACCTACCCTCAATACTAATTTCTTGTATTTTTCAGACAAATCCACTTTTACACATCTCCCCTGGAACCAAAGGGCTTTGTTGGAACAGTGCTCCATCATTGCTTCAGCATCCTCTCTGGTTTCCATTTCTATGAAAGCCTACAAAAATATTATGAGATATTTGAGCATATATTACTCCAGTCAATGGCTCACTTTTGTTATGAAGTCTCATCTCTATCATGCACCACATTTGGTACAGGGTTGCTTCAAGGATAACACTGATAGGATCTTTCTTGAGGTATACTGTGTAAAGGGGAGGCTTAAACAGTTTCTACTTTATCATCCAACGTAACTAGCTAGATCCCTGAAAAATGGTGGTATCATGCACTGAAATGGCGCAATGAAGGTTAGTTATGCAGGAACAAGAGGCTAAGTACCAGCCCCATCTTTTCTTTCCAGCTCCTGTCCTTTTCCTATCCTTCCTCTGCCTTGTGCAAGGCTCTCAACTCCTACCCATCCTCCTAAGTCCACAAAGCTATAGCACAATTCTATCAATCATGTGGATGCCAGTGAGAAAGGAGACTTGGGGATAGCCAGCTATTTATTTTTGTTTTACTAACATCCTGGAAAATGGGAACCAGAAGCATGAACTTCCACTTAGCTGTGCATTTGGCACAAAGGTACAGAAAGGCCTTTTGGATCTCTGAACCTTTCCTTTCTCCTAAGCACAAAAATCACTCAATGAATTCTGAAAGCCATGGGGAGCATTTTATGCTTAATTTCAACTGAAGCACATTAGATGAAAAGGCTTGATGCCAAATCATGTCCAATTTATTTCCTTGTGTGCTTCATCAGACAGAAAACAGAGTAAGTGACATGAACAGAAGCTGACAAGTCAAGACTGCATATAATATAATTTATAAATAAAAATATAAAGATATTAAAATAAATAAAAAATATAAGCTAATATATACATAGGTAACAGGTACCAATGACCTTGTTCAAAGCACCAGTAAAAGTAAAAAAAATGGCAAGAGTAGGTACAAGAAAAGGGCTAAGGCAATAGTATCTCCTTGTAATCAGCTTGCTTTTAAGTGTTGAACTGACACTTCTTAGTGTCATCCACTGTTTCAATATTTCTTTGGCTCCCCAATACGTCTAAAAAGCAGTGATACTGTCAGCGAACCCCAGCAGTTAATACACTGAAAAGAATACATGAAAAGAGGAGGGGTAATACCATGGTAAGCACCAAATGGCTTACAACTGTAGCTAGGAGATCAAACAAAGCGGCCTTAGCAGCCAAGTTTCCTGGGATACTGGCCTGAGGACAGAGGGGGAAGGGACAATAGACAATCAGTCCTACTGTCTGATGATGGGGTCTCCCATAGCTTATTTGAATGGTCAGTGCCTTGTCATAGAAAATCATGCCTCATCAAATTTAGAGAATGGCAGATATTTCTGTTATGGAAGTATCACATGAATTACCTGACTCTTCATTCTCATCAGTATGTAGTTCTTTATTTTTCCATAGGGCTCAGCTAGTTTGAGCACAGCACTGTCAGAATAGCCTGAATGTGGCAAATTACTGAGGTGAATCACACGACCAAGTTCTTGTTTTGGAGGGTCAAACTTTTGGTCAGGCTTCCCTTCTGGTTTCTGAAAAGATTGAAGAACACTTTATTAACCCTTTATATTTGTTATTGAGCCTTAATGTCAGAAACTGGAGGATAAAATGAAGGAACTGAACTTTACAAACGGAAATGCAAGTTTAATTGAACTGATTTTACCTTTATTCTTTTATATTTCTGAGATAAATGAACTCTCACAGGTTTGCCAAACACTAGTGCTGGTGCCGATGAATAATATTCTACAGCAGCTTGTGCATCTTCAGTGGTAGCCATTTCAATAAATGCCTGGAATTGTATATGACAAATAATTATTCTTCTTCCAGAGGTATTATATGAACAAGAATGAAATACAAGGATAAAATTGTCAAGTGCCAAGAACTATATATGTCTCCCATATCTAAGTAACAGATTCCAGATAGAATTTAATATATATCCAATGCAGAGTTCAGATTTATAAAACTATTAAGAAATATTTGCAAATAAAGAATTCTACATTTTTTTTTAAAAGTACCTTTTTTGAGCATTAAATTTGAGGAGCATTAAATTTGCCTGATGTTGAAAAGTGTACTTCAAACCATTTTAAATCTTACACATTCAAGTTCCTTTCTACAACCCTGTGGACTAGAACATTATTTACTGAGATCTGAAACCTAGGATTTGCCAAACTGCAAGTATGAGTTTGGGGGCCATACACTGCCACCTCCTGGTTTACTTGTATGTTAATACAAGAACTATCTTTTGCTAAGCTACGAACCATTCCAGAGATTGCTTAACATTTCCACTACGATTATTTCAAGTAATATAGAAGAGGTTACAGAAGAGGCTAATACTTACCTCATTAATTTTATTCAAGATAAGGTGATTTGTAATTATTCCAAATGGTTCAACAAGCTGCAATAGCTGGTATCTCAGGTTTTTCCCTCTCTGAAAGTCCATGATATGCACAACTCTGCTTGTTTCCTATTAATGATCAACAAATTAACTTGTTAAGCAAGTGAATATTCAGTCATCCTATTCATTTTAGTACAGGATATTTTTGCCAATTTTGCGGCAAGCTAGTCAGTCCTAAACAATGCATTTTTAACAATGCAAACAATTTCATCCTGGATTAATGAGTTGTGCAAAGTAAAGGTGGAGAACCCAATTCACCTGAAAGCACATATATCCTCAAAAGAAAGGCTTAAAAATGTGTGTTACAAGTATCCCTTCTGGATGGTGTCTTTACATTTTTATGAATATTCCAATAAAATAATTTCTACACACGTTTTGAAAGTGTTTGAGTATAACATTGTATCATGTGGTTAATTTGA